TTCTTGCCTAATTGCTCTGGCTAGGAATTCCAGTACTATGTTGAATAGGAGTGGAGATAGTGGGCATCCTTGTCTGGTTCCTGATTTTAGAGGGAATGGTTTCAGTTTTTCTCTTAAGTATAATGCTGGCTGTAGGTTTGTCATATATAGCTTTTATAATGTTGAGGACTTTCCTTCTATTCCTAGTTTTCTTAGAGCTTTTATCATGAAATGGTGTTGGATCTTATCAAAGGCTTTTTCTGCATCTATTGAGATGATCAAGTGGTTTTTGTCTTTGCTTCTGTTAATGTGGTTTATTACGTTTATTGATTTTCGTATGTTGAACCACCCCTGCATCCTGGGATGAAGCCTACTTGGTCGTGGTGAATAATCTTTTTGATGTGTTGTTGAATTCGGTTTGCCATTATTTTGTTGAGGATTTTTGTCAATGTTCATTAAGGAGATTGGCCTATAGTTCTCCTTTTTGGAGGTGTCTTTGCCTGGTTTTGGGATAAGTGTAATACTGGCTTCATAAAATGTGTTTGGCAGTTTTCCTTCCCTTTCTATTTCGTGGAACAGTTTAAGGAGGGTTGGTATCAGTTCTTCTTTAAAGGTCTGATAGAATTCAGCAGAGAATCCATCAGGTCCTGGACTTTTCTTTTTGGGGAGACTCTTGATTGCTGCTTCAATTTCATTTTGTGTTATAGATCTATTCAGGTGATTAATTTCCTCTTGGTTCAGTTTTGGATGATCATATGTATCTAGAAATCTGTCCATTTCTTTAAGATTTTCAAATTTATTTGAATATAGGTTCTCAAAGTAGTCTCTGATGATTTCCTGGACTTCCATGGTGTTTGTTATCTCCCCTTTTGCATTCCTGATTCTACTAATTTGGGTTTTTTCTCTCCTCATTTTAGTCAGGTTTGCCAGGGGTCTATCGATCTTGTTTATTTTTTCAAAGAACCAACTTTTTGTTTCATTAATTCTTTGTATGGTTTTTTTGGTTTCTATTTCATTGATTTCAGCTCTTATTTTTATTATTTCTCTCCTTCTATTTGTTTTGGGATTTGCTTGTTCTTGTTTTTCTAGGAGTTTGAGATGTATCATTAGGTCATTGATTTGGGATCTTTCAGTCTTTTTAATATATGCACTCATGGCTATAAACTTTCCTCTCAGGACTGCCTTTGCTGTGTCCCATAGGTTCCGGTAGGTTGTGTTTTCATTTTCATTGACTTCCAGGAACTTTTTAATTTCTTTTATTTCATCAATGATCCATTGTTCATTAAGTAATGAGTTATTTAGTTTCCAGCTGTTTGCATGTTTTTTGTATTTACTTTTGTTGTTGAGTTCTACTTTTACTGCATTGTGATCAGATAGAATGCATGGTATAATTTCTATTTTCTTATATTTGCTGAGTCTTGCTTTGTGCCCTAGGATATGATCTATTTTGGAGAAGGTTCCATGGGCTGCTGAGAAGAATATTATTGTGTAGAAGTTGGATGAAATGTTCTGTAGACATCAACTAGGTCCATTTGATCTGTGGTATATTTTAGATCTAGGATTACTTTACTGATTTTTGTTTGGATGACCTATCTATTGATGATAATGACATGTTAAAATCTCCCATGACCACTGTGTTGGCGTTAATATATGCTTTTAGGTCTTCAGGGTATGTTTGATGAATTGGGTGCGTGACATTGGGTGCATATAGGTTGATAATTGTTATTTCCTTTTGGTCTATTTCCTCTTTTATTAGTATGGAATGTCCTTCTTTATCTCATTTGATCAATGTAGTTTTGAAGTCAACTTTGTCCGAGATAAGTATTGCTACTCTTGACTATTTTGGGGGGCCATTGGCTTGGTAAATCTTCTTCCAGCCTTTCATCCTAAGCCTATGCTTATTTCTGTTGGTGAGATGGGTTCTCTGTAAGCAAAAATTGTTGGATCTTCCTTTTTAATCCAGTTAATCAAACGGTGTCTTTTGATAGGGGAATAAGTCCATTAACTTAAGTGTTAGTACTTGATAGATATGTGGGTGTCTGTCATTTAGTTGTCTTAGTTTGTTTGAAGGTTTGATTGTGGTGTACCTAAAATTGAGGTTACTCTCTACTTTCTTGCTTTTTCTTTTCCTGTAGTTTGGTGGTTGCCTGTCCTTTCATGGTTATGTTGGGTTCACTTTCTGGTGTGAAGAACCTTTTGTAGTGGTGGCTTTGTGGTCATATATGTTTTTAGTTTCTGCTTATATGGAGACTTTTATTGCTCCATCTATTTGAATGATAGTTTTGCAGGGTAGAGTATCCTAGGGGTTGAAGTTGTTTTCATTCAGTACCCGGAAGATCTCACCCACACTCTTCTTGCTTTTAATGTTTCTGATAGAGAAGTCTGCTGTGATTTTTGATGGGTTTTACCTTTGTATGTTACTGTTTTTTCTCTCTTCACAGACTTCAATATTCCTTTCTCGAGTCTCTATAAACCTGTTGTTTTTAATGATAATATGGATTCTGGCAATATTTAGCATTCCATTTCTACTTACCTTATTTCCTTAAAAGAAGGTTATATTCAGGTTATGGAGCATTGAAATATAGACAAAGAATAAATATTCTTGATTTACTCCTTCATCTAACATAGGCAGGGCAATTCATTTCCCATTGCCTTCAATTTTATCAGATGAAAAAAATGGGGATAAACATCTCAGAACTCTTCAGGAGTGAATTAGAACCAGGAATCAATGTGTTTGGAACACTATTATGCATTATTTCCCACATTGTCTGCAAATTACCTTTTTTCATAAATAAGAACATTGTATCAAACTTTCAAATGCATGGAAAAACCCATTCAAACATCACACACTTTTGAAATCTCTTATTATCTCTATTTTCCCCAGTGTTCTTACCTTCAAATGTACCATATAGTGAATTTACCTTGCCACTAGAATGTGAGCTTCAGGATGGCAGGGATTTTTTTTTACCTTCAATGTGTCCTAGGTGCTCAAAATATTATTTGAGGAAATAGACATATTTCAGGCTATCACATATTTTTCTTCCTACATCTTAATTAGGACACACATGTGCATACAGAGCGTAAAGCACATAAAAGTGACTATGAATCCTCCTCCAGGATTTTTTTTTTATAGTACTGAGGTTTGAACTGTGGGCCTACACCTGGAGCCATTTTACCAGCCCTTTTTTGTGGTCATTTTTTTCAAGTTAAGGCCTCACATACAATTTGCTTGGGGCTAGCTTTGACCTACAATCCTCCTGATCTCTGCCTCCTGAGGAAATAAGATTACAGGTGTGAGCCACTGTCATCTGGCTTCCTTATGGATTTGAAGAAGTGATATCAAATGTTCTGAACATGTGTTCTCTAGCCATGTAAGCACATTTTACTTGGAAACTTGGCCCTTTGTGATATCATCTATAAAACCACTAATGGTATCCCCGATGGGAGGATGTAATGCAATATGCACATGAAATACAGATCATTCAGTGACAGAAATGACTGCTAATATTGCCTTTAAACTGCTCCCATAGAAGTTCTTATATTCCTATATTTAGCAAAGAGTTTTCAATCTTAAAAGTTTTTAGTCTAGAGCAGAAGTGTGTGCAGAATCTCATAAGTGTCTCATGCTATAAAAAGAAAAATAACAATCTGGTCCTTGTCAATCTTGGGATAGAGAAAAATTTGTAAAACATAGTGATAGGGTTGGTTTCCAAGTCTTCCTGGGCCAGGTTCATTAAAATGAAACCCTTGAAAAGGTCAAATACAGTTTCTGAATAAGCCCTCTCAACATGTTCTACATTAAACATACGTTATATAGCTACTGCCATGACAGGGATCAGGAAAATCCAGATTAAGTTTTCCATTTTATTTTGCTTTATGTCCTTTATCAAATTCATACTCTTTATTAATTTGCAATGTTTTCTCACAAGAGTATCAAAAGGATGAAATGAAGTGAGAACAGGTTAAAATGCATTGGGAAAACCTATGAAGATTGATTGTTTTATTGGTGGGCTGTGTGGGGGTAACAAGTAGAATGGAAGGAGCCATGAACCTTTCTCAGGTGTCATGATCAAAAGGGATCCCTGGGAATTCCTTTAGAAGAAACTCTCATTATACATTCCTCAGCACTTTCTCCTCTGACCTATTATAACTAAACTGGTACTTGCTGTCTTATATTTAACCTCTGTGTTCACAGCCTTGTGACAATCTGGTAGGGTGAAGGGGACTCCTTGCTGCTGAGGAATGTGAGAACTGTGTAAGCTTTGGAAAATGCTCTTGTTTTTGTTTTGTTGTACACAATCTCATGATATAGCCTAGATCATCCTCCTGCCTCACTCTCCAATTGGCAGGAATTATGGGTATGTGACAGTGTATCTGGCTATCTTTTCCCCCTTTACAGCCATCTATGGAGCAAAATTTATCTGAATCCATTTGAATTATGTACCAATTTCTGGAAGGCATTAACCACATCCACATTAAGGCAAATGTGAAAAGTCTTCAAATGCTCTTAAAGAAAAGAAATTACTTTTACACTGCTCCTCAGTAGTGTGGAAAGCTCATATCTTCAAAAATGTTATGACTAGGTGTGATGGCATGTGCTTGTAATCCCAGAACTTGGTTAGATTTTGTTTTTGTATTACTGGGGTTTGTACTCTGGGCCTTGAGGTTGCTAAGCAGATGCTCTACCACTTGAGCCACACCAAAGCCCAATCTCAGCATGAGGAAGGCACAGGCAAGAGGATCACAAGTTCCAGGCTAACCAGAGCTACATGCCAAGACCTTGTCTTTATGAAACCAACCAACAAAATAAACAATAATGTTATGGATCTTTTCTGAGTCTAACATTTATTCTACAGACTGTCAAACCTCTCTGTACAGCCCTGTAATCAAATTAAGCTTCTAAGATCATTGTGGATTTCATGGTAACTATTAACATTCACTAAATGATTCTGAGCAGAGTTGTCATGGTTGTTATTGAAACTGTCTTGTATACATGTCGACACACACTTATCTTTAACAATTCAAAAGCAGAAACTAGGAGTTCTAGGATCCCTAAAAATCAGCAGTATGAGGCAAACAGTAGGGAAACATGAATTCAAAATGTAAGAGACATGTATCACCCATAGGTGAGACTGCACAAAAGCAGTGATATAAAAAGTAAAAATGGAATCGAGTATGTAAAAAAAGATGAAGAAGGCCACCAGCATCAGGATGGTGTGAGCAGCTCTGGATTCTGGGGGGCCTTTGTGGTATAAGTTGGAAGTATGAATATGCTGTTTTCTCTTGTGGTGTCTGCACAGGAGAAGAACCATGGAGCCACTGGCTGAGCCTGTAAGGCCAATAAATGTGGCTTTGGAGATGAACAACAAGATAACAAAGCCCACACTAGGACCCAAGGATGAGCAGAACCACTGGACTTCTGTATCAGTGTAGTTGTGTTTGTCCTGTAGGCCAGTGACTCTCATGGGAATATAGACATTTATTAAGGTACTGAACATCCAACAGGTGTAGCAGGAAGGTCTAGTGATCTCCTGGGCTTTTCCTTTGATTATTATCCTCCCTGCATTCATAGGGATGACAGTGACAGCCTGATAGATGCTCAGAACACAGGTGGAGCACAGAGTGGCAGTATGACCCATTTGGTGAATGTAGTAGGTAAGTTTACATCCAAGACTGGACAGGGAATTCCTTGGAACAAAAGCCACCATGGAGTGGGGGATCCCAGTAGAGAGAAGAACCAAGGTATTGGCTGAGGCCAGGTGGGTGAAAAGCACCTGTGTGGGTCTCAGTCTATGTCCAACCAAGAGTGGAGATACATTATGGAAAAATAGAATGACATTGGCCACAGTCCCAACCCCACTGTGGAAAAGCAAGGCAGTCTTTAGAGCCACTTCAGATTGGGGTAGAGTGAAGAACAGGTTGGGCCAATGCTGGTGACAGGATTCTTCTTAGTGATCTGTCCTAGTGAAAAGTTTCTGGATCTTTTCCTGAAAATGGAGATGTGTTACAGTCTATAAGAGGGGCCCCATATGGAGGACATCTCACTGACACTATGTAGTTTATCTTTTTGATTTTATATTTTTATATTTAATTTTACACTTGGACTTCCCACCACAATTCAAGAGTCATGTACAACATTATGGCTAACTCATAATTGATTTTCAAAAAGTACATGCTGAATAAATGATTCGTGAAAAGAGACATCAGCAAAGATGTGCTATAAAACTTCAGTTTTTGCCAGGATCTTCCCTGTCATCATAATGCATGAATCTCAGATGAAGTTGAAAAACCTACATAACTTCTAAAATCTGAAGTTAGCTAAGTGGTTTTACAACATGATGAGAGAATCGGTAGTCAACATTTTAAAACTGAGTTGAAACGCTCAACTTATTCCTCAGAGTTCAGGAAACAAATAGCTTTGTATAAAACAGTTTAGAAGGTGTTACTGAAAAGCAAGTTTTAGTTTATCCAGCCATTTTTCTGTGGTTCATCTAATTTTAATTGGTTTTGATTAATGTGTTAATTGCACATAGTAGTGTGGTTCATTATGATGTATCCATACATGCACACAAGATTCCATAAAGAGTCAGTAGGTGGATGTGAGGGCGATCTGGCTGTGACATCTGTCACCCCATTGATCGCCAGGGTTGATTCAGCTGATCTGGCTGGCTAGGCGGGTGTCCCCTTCCTCCCTCACTGCTCCACGTGCGTCCCTCCCAAAGCTGCGCATCGGTTGAAGAGGACGACCTTCCCCGATAGAGGAGGACCATTCTTTGGTCAAGGGTATACAAGTAGCTGCGCTCCCCTGCTAGAACCTCCAAATAAGCTCTCAAGAGTCAGTAGGTCTCAGGGTACAAAAGGTGACTCTAAAATGCTCTTAAGTAATCTAGTCATTGTAGAAAAATTCCCAGTACTCAATTTAGTCTAATTCTGAACAGTTTCCTGAGTCATTACTGGGAATGCTCTGAAATGAGTTTCTGGAGAGCTCTTCCTGAATGGACTTCAGCCACACAAAAGTTAAACACTGCAATCATTATTCAAATCTCCATTCATTCTTAAGTGCCAAGGATTGTCAGACTCCTTGTTTGAGTCTGATGTTTACTGTTAAATCAATCTACTTATCTGGGCTCACAATCATCCATAGCATTCATGGGCCAACCCTAGGGAGTGAATAAGAAGGTACCAGGGGTCACAGTGCCAACTGACTTGCTCTGGTTGCAGGTGTGAAATCCACAAAGGAGTTGATCCTTAGCCAACCCTGTAGCATAAACCATCTGCAGTCACATGCAAAATGAAGAAATGAGTTTTAAACAAATGTCAAGAGTCATGAGTCAAGACCAAGAAATGCCTTACTCTCAGGAAAATAAGATCCATCTTATGAAAGTACAGTGTAGACAGTATGGGACTAAAAACAGGGAAGTGAGAAACTTGCAACTTTGGGTTTACCAAATCCAGGATTGGATCCTGACTCCACTCTCTCTGCTGCTGAGACACAGCATGCCCTCAACTCTGGGAACCTCGATCTCTCACTGGTAATAACATGGTTTACTAACAAGATCTCAAATTTGAGGATGAGAGCAATCCAACTCTGGAGCTAGAAAACTCATCCACTTACTAGTGTAGTTCAGCCTAGGCAATTTTGTTCACTGGGCTATGCCACAATTTCCCCTTTAAAATATAAAATAAAATTATGAAAGACCATGTATCATGAGCTGGGTGTGAATGTTTAATGTGGATTTTATATTTATTTTTGACCACAAGTTAGAACATGTTAATCTTTCATTTACTGTTATGAGAAAGTATGATTCCTGCAAAATAAAATTTTTTGTTTTCATTTCTTATCATTGAAAGGCATGTGATAATGGATAAGTAAATATATTGTTGGTACCTAATTGCATTCCCACCTTACTAGAGTCCTATCTTTCTTTTCTCCCCACATCCAGACACACTGAGTTTATTTCCACTGAAGAGAAAAAGGAAGACCTTTCTGGTACATCAGGCAATGCAAAGCTTCCTTCTTTACACAACTTAAATTGTGTGCTCCTTCTCCAAGCCCAGCTCCACCTGAATTTCACCTGTTCACATTCACCTTATAATCACTCTCAGTCAACTTCTCCTTTCTCTACCCCTCAAATTGAGGCTTCTTTTTTTCTTTTTGGTCTCTCTTTTTAATGTACTGGCAGTTATAGGAGAAAAAGAGTTATTCTCATTTTCAACCTGTACATATTCAGTCACACTCATGTCTACCCACAATGTTGCTGCAATGGGCACCATTGCTGCAGTTTCTACATCCCCTATAAGAATATCAAGAGGAAATACTGATCTGTCCTTTGTATTGCAGTTTCCTGCAACTTCACGGGTGCAGTAGTGTGCCTGGTTTTATTCTAGCCCCAATGAACTCCATAGAACCTTTAATAGCAAAAGACTTGGATTTCATGCACAGCAAATCTTCACTCTATCTTTTAATGACCCCACTAACTGCTCCCCACTGGTACCCTTAAGCACAGGCAGGTCTTCTGTTTTGCATCTTCCTTTTTCCCAAAATGACCCAGTCCTTATCAGTATCGGGTGGAGGTTATGAGGTGAGTTATGTTGTCAGAAATGCTGGGTATATATTAGGCTGGGTCCAGAAACTGACCTGAAGGTGAGATGCCTCACTATCCCCAGCAGCTAGAATTGCAGGACACATCTACTCATGCCACGATGAAAACCATAACTTTCATACCCTCAACCAAGAGGGACACCACCACAGCCAGAGTCCGGAACTAGTCCACAGGGAGTCCCCCATGTACAGTTGCTGGAATACACATCCCTATCATGCCGTCTTTATGTACCTGTGTCTAACCTCCCCTTGTTGGAGGAAAGCATGAGAGGACACACACCATGCATTTGGACAAAATGTGAGGAAGATTTTCTTGAACAAAGAGATCCTATTTCTAAAGATTTTCTAATGACACAGCATTCTGTTCATGAAAGGAAAATTTAAAGGCAGGTGAGTCTAACTCCTCCTATCTAAGGACTTTCTGCTCCAACAGCTTCCTCATTCCTTCTGGAGATTTTCAGCTTCCGTGATTAAGAATACAGTCAATTACGTGAAACCTTAGGAATTCCTTCTGTTGTCTCTTGGTAGAGGGGTGTATACCCCATCTCACCATAGGAAAGCACAGAAATCACAGCTGATTTACAGCAGTATTATAATGAACTAGGAAAAAGCTGCTTGTAGAACTGATCATGTCCTCTGGACAAGGGGGTTAAAACCTGGATAGAGATATAGAAATAGTAGAGGACAAGTGAAAGGCCCTCAGAGCGAAGCCTACATCTACCAGGGCTGATCAGATAAGGCAGTCTTTTTGTTGTGGGAAATTAGAAGCTGAGATATGGCACACTGAGGCAGTTTAGCAGGAAGAAATGTTTTATTGTGCCAGCACAGACCCAGTGGACTCGTGTCCAAAGGCTGAGCCCTGAGAACAAAGGGGTCTTACCTTATAAACCCTTGTAAGCAGGTCACAGAAGCAAAAAGCAACATCTAATCCATATATGGTAATATTAATTCTATAGGCTACTTTACCCTAGTGCTATGTAACTTTTCCTCCTCTGCCATGTTACGTGACCTTCCTCTCGTTCAGATTTCTTACATTTTGTCTCTCTGCTACGCCATCCCTCCCTCCCTGCTACTTTCTCAGGACACAGGGAAAGTCTGCTTTCTTTTAATCCTCCTCCCTGCTATACTTTGAAACAACAGAGACATGCTTGGTGGGTTTGGAAATCCAAAGTATGCCTCAGTTTCTAAGGAGACTATCCTTCTATTTTTCTATGCAAGTTTTTCATTACATAAGAATTGGCAATGAATTTGAATGTGACCACGGTTTACCTGTTCATCAGGTCTTTAATAAGGATGCTCAGAGTGAGGCAGCTTTAGCACTTGTCATGCCCAATGTTTCTACACAGCCACTGTTCTGCATTTCTCTCCCGTTGGAGGGCCCATCTGCCTGTCTTCTTTTCTGAGACTGAACACAGGAATCACTCACCTAGGTGGCCTTGGCTGAGGAGTCCTGTGTAGCACAGTTCTTCAGGATTATCCTGGGGCACATGAGTCCATAATTATAGAGACAGGGTTCCTGTATTTGATCTCCCCCAGAGAGGCCGTTATCCTGTCATCTATGGTCTCAATGACACTGAACTCATGGAGACTATGACACAACTCCAATGAGAAGAAAAGTTTTCCCTGTGCAAAAATATGATCTGTCACTTCTGGTCATTAATTTGGAAATTAGTGAGAAGATCCTAATGAGCAGCTGAACAGAAGTTAGAAAAAGTGCTCCTATTCCTAGGGAACAAATATTAATTGAAAATCAAAGTTATAGTAGCATGTGGAAGGACATGTAAAGCTACATGGAAGGCTCTTTTACTACAATTACAACTGGTCATGTTTCTCAGTGCTCTCTAATGCTTCCTAAATAATTCCTGTCACCATTGGATCAAGAATTAAAATTCCACACTTCTTGTGATTTATGCCCCTAGGTCTGGTTAGAAGGAAGTCATTCCACTTGAAACCACTTCTTCCACTTTAAAATTCAGTGTATTTCTAATGTGCACATGACTCCACAGGAAGGTTATAATTTTTCTTCCAAGTCACCCATGTGCACTTCCTCCTCTGTCTCTTGGGACAACCATGCTTCCCTTTTGTGCTATGGATAATTTTTGCAGTAAGAAGCATTCTGACCAAATGACGAAGCCATATACCACTGAATAATGGGAATGCATCCTGAGAACTCTGTTTGGAAAAAAAATTATCATGATACCCTCTGGACCACAAAAGCCATGCTAAGGGGAAATTTACATATAGAGTTCTTTCATTTACAAATCAGAGAGACATCAAATTAAAAAAACTTATTATGCACCTCAAGGACTTAGAAAAACAAAAGTAATCCAACCCAAAAATCAGAACACTAAAAGAGATAAAGATCTGTGTAGAAAGCAATGAAGTGGAGACTAAATGAAAAACACAATGGATCAATGAAACAATGAGCTAGTTTTAAAAAAGGATAAACAAGTTTGCAAACCCTTAGCAGAACAAACCAATAGAAAGAGTTAGAAGACTAGAATTAACAAAATTCAAGATGAAAAAGAGGATATAATAACAGTTATCACCACAACCAAGAGGATCATTAAGAAATTTATTAAAAATTATATTCTAGTACAGGTGAAAAGCCAGAAGAACTGAACAAATTTTTAGCCATGCATTATGATCTACCAATTTTGAATCAACAGGATAGAAACAACATAAATAGACCTACAACAAGCAGTAAGATTGAAGCAGTAATAAAAAATCACCCAAAAAAAGGAATGCTCAGGACTGAATGGATTCAAACCTGACATCTCCCCAGACCTTCAAAAAAGAACAGCAATGCTCTACAAGCCAATACCATAATGACATACCCTCTGAACCTACTTATAGAAATTTTTGGTAGCTGTAAAAGAGGAATACCAAATGAAATGTAGGGTACATTTGAAATAGGAGAAACTACTTTCAAATTATATATCTGATCTAATGTTGATATCCAAAATGTGTATGAACATAGCACAATACAAAAATAAAGAACATAATTTTTTAAATGAGCAAGGGACCTGAATAGACATTCCTTCAAAGAACACAAAAAAATAACCAAAAGTCACCTTAAAAGTTGCCTGATTTCAGTAATCATCAGGAAAACAGAAATGAAAGCCTCAAGGAGATGTCACCTCACATGTTAGTATGGCTGTTATGTTAAAAAAAGAATAAAGATGACAAATTTTGTGGAAAGGTGGATAAAGTGTACCCTTGTACTCTGCTGATGGAAATATAACTTGTTGCAACCTTGAGGAAAACAGACAGCTCCTCAAAAGATAAAAAAAATCACTGCCCCTTTATTCAGCAATCCCACCAGTGTGTCAATGTTTGAAAGAGGTGAAATCAGTGCCTAGAAAAATATCTGCACTTCCATGCTCATTACAGCATGACACACAGTAGTCACAACACAGAAACAACCCAGGTATCTTGGCAGCAGAAAAGACACTGTCATTATTTTGCCATGAAAAGAAGGCAGTCATGCCATTTGCTGTATAGACAAATCTTAAGGGCATGATGCCAACTGAATAAAGCCAGACACAAAAGGATAAACAGTATCACTGATCTCAGTAATGTGGAATCTACTAACACTGAATTCATAGAATTGCAGTGGTGTTTGCCCTGGACTGCGGAAGAAGAAAATGGGAAAACAAAACAAAACCTACAGCTGATCCTGAGAGGTTGAATAAGTCAGTAGCTGAAAGTCTATTCATCCACCATTTCATAAAGTCTTCTAAGTTCTAATTATATTCAAGAAAACAAACATGAAAGACCCTGAGTACTCAAAGTAATCCCAAGTAAAAAGAGCTGTTCAGGAGATATCACAATATTCAACTTCAAGAACCACAGTGAGAAAAATGGCACTGGTGTGAAACACACATGTAGAACAACAGAACAGAATAAAATGTCCAGAAATATCCCCACACAGCTGCAGCTACCTGATTCTTGACAAATGTACCAAAAAACACACACTGGGTGACAATGGCAGCCTCTTTAACAAGTGATGCTGAGAAAACTGGAAATCCACATGTAGAAGACTGATCACCATTTCTCACTTTGTACAAAAATGAATTAAAAATGGGTCAAAGAACGTAATGTTCTTAGACCTGAAGATTTGAAACTACCAGAGGAAACTATAGGAAAACCTTCACCACATAGGCATAGGCAACAACTATTCTTCAGTAGACCAGGAAATATTAGAAAGAATTGACAAATGGTTTTGTGTTAAATTAAAAAGATGCTACACAGAAAAAAAACTGCCAAGAAAGTGAAGAGAGGGCTGGCAGAGTGGTTTAAGCAGTAATGTGGCCTGCCTAGCAAGCATGAAGCCCTGAGTTCAAATGCCAGTGATGTCAAAAAGAAAAAAAATAAGAAAGTGAAGAGACAGGTGACACAGCGAGAGAAAATTTTGCCTGATAGCCATGCACCATGGATTAATATCTAGAATATATAAAGAACTCAAAAAATTCAGAATGAAATAGCAAATAGTCCAACCAACAAATGGACAGTAAAACTAAAAACATTTCAAATGAAATGAATTTGAAGTACAAATGGCTGATAAATACCTGAAAATGTATGGGAAACATTGTCAAGCTGCTCAGTTTTAGTTCAGAAATGTTAAGATCTCTTCACATTTTGATCAAGGAAATTGGGTCAACTTCCTCAGAAATCTTTCTTAAAATCACACTCACTGATGACAGGATATTTTTACAGGATATTTTCTTCAAAATGTGAAGAACTTCTTTCAGAAGTTTGGTCAATAAACCACCCAAAGTGTTCCCTGACAATCAGCCAATCAATGAAGGTTGTTTTATTTCTTTAGGTTTTGTATGAAAAAATCAATTATAAAATATATTGTTTACCAGGTGTGGAGACACATGCATAATCCCAGCTGATTAGGAGACTGAAGACCAAGAGTTCTAGGCCAGAATGGGGTCCATAGTGAGCTATAGTCCAGCCTCAGGAATTCAGCAAGATCCTGTCTCTAAGTTAATAAAGAAAAGAAAAGGGATGGCAATGTAGTTCAGTGGTAGACCATTTGCAATGAAAGTGTGATGCCCAGAGTTCAATATCCATCAAAATACACTCATACACACACACATACATTCACACTTGAAATCTTGCTACTATCTCCCAAAAGGGAAGTATGGGAAGGATGTAAGAGAGGGTAATAGAAAGGTGAAAAAGATCAAAGTACATATATGCATGAATGGAAATGTCATTATTTTTAAAGTAGTGAGGAAAGAAGGTAGGAAATCTGGCAGCTTAGAATACTATAAATATGATGGCTGAGAAAGATAGCTTGGAGGTTGATAAGGATTTATATCTTTCATGGGTGACATTATTAGAATGACTCATGACATACAGCAGGGTCTTGATGACCCGAATACCCAAGTGACCTGGAAAATGAAACTCCCATTGCAATCATCCAAGGCCCCAAATAACCCTGTCCATCATGTGGTAAGATTTAATGACACATAACTCTGCCGTATTTAACAACATATAACTCAGTTTTCCAGAGCCAACCACATGGGTGTCCACAGAACCCCAATAAAAGCTTAAGGTCTTAAGACCCCTCAGGGAAATGCTCCATCCAGAGGCTGACTGCTCACTCCTCTGAAGGGTGTACTATCCCTTGACTCTTGCTTTTACTTTGCATTAATAAACCTGCTACTGCTTAAGTCTCCTTTGTCCATTCTTATGAGTTTCTTTCTCAAGTGAGACTGCCAACTACCAGGTGGGATATCCAAACTTGACATGAAATGAGTGCCTCACAGGGTAACCAGAGGTGCCATATGACACAGTGCATGTGTTGTTCCTTATCAGTGCACGGCTATGATGGACACCATTGTAAAACACACCCTAATTTATAGTCATCCCCATCTGCATTGGTTTGCAGAAGACAAGTCCCTGCTCCCTCAACTGCTACTCTTCTTGTTTTTCAGCAAAAGTGGACAAATCTCTGGATAGAGAGTATTGGGTGGGGGTGATTACTACCAACCTGCTCTCAAAGTGAGTTAACAGCCTCCTTATATAGTTAGGTGGGAGGGAACAAGAGTACCTTTACCAATCACAAGAGTCTTGTCATGTTTGTACCGATCACGGTACACTGTGTTATGCTAATGAAGGATTGTGTTTGCACCATTCATAGGTCTCTTACTGGATAGAAGTGGCAGTTGTGGCACTTGGTTTTCTGTTAAGCAGAAGTCTGGTAAAAGCTCATTGTGGGGCAAGGACTTCTGGAGCTGGAGTTGTATTTTGGATGTTGGCAGGAGAGTCGTCCAGCTGCTTTCATGGCATCCAGAGCCCTACAGAAAGGTTTAGCAGCTGTCAGGATGTTAAATCTCTACAAATCCCAACATCTAAGCTTGTTTCAAGGAACAAAAACCTCAAAAAGGTACATACAAAAAAGCTTATAAAAATGTACTTTAACAATATTTAATAATGCTCTAGACAGCTTAACTTCTGCTTC